TTGACCCGTTGAGCTAGATTCAGCTGCATTGTCTGACCAGAGATTGCATTTGGATTGCAATCTGTTGCCTCATCTTCAACTTCCATGATGTCAGTGTCATCACTGTCCTCGTTGTTGTTGTCGTTAGCAGCGAATGTAGCATTGTTGGTATTGCCAACATTCGTGCCATTATTTGTCTCTGTGCTCTTTCTAGCTTTTGCTGCTGGTATATTATTGTCGCTTGGCTGATTGTCCGATACTTTAATGGCTGTATTTGTTTTAAAGAAATCAGAATACGAAGGAGTATCCCTGACACTGTCTGCGTTCGTAATATACTCAGCGTACGCTAATAATAGAGCACGCTTGTCACTCTTATTCGCTGGCATAGTTGGTGAAATTTTGCGCTTAATAGGTCGTTTAATGACCGTATTGACTTTGGGTGATCCACAGATTCTAGTACCCAACATATACTCATTTATTGGTAGTGATTGTTGCCCACTCGCCTCTAGTTCATTTTCTGAAACTTGCATAATTTCAGCTGGCATCATTCCCGCATAATTATTAGGAATTAATTGGCTAGCCGATGGAGCAGCATCGGTATTATTTTTATTATTATTTTTATTTTTATTAATTTTCTCCATTTCCTGGCTATTTGTGACACAGATAAATTCTGAGTCAGAATTGGTTGGGCTATCAGCAAGCATGTTGCTATGAACTTGCGCTCTAACAACATGTTGCTGTAGCCCCATATTATTGCTCTCAACATTTTGTTCGCAGCTCGAGACGAACATGTTGCCATGATCGCTCTCACTACGTTCATAGCTGCTGCTGCTGCTGCTGCTGAATTTGCTCAAGTTCGATGCCGCTCTGCTGCCGACACTCAAACGCTCGATTGGCGCTTCTGCCGACGCAAGCGCCGACAGCGACTGAGCCGTAGAGAGCATTGGCGCTCTCTTGTGCTTCGGCTTCGGCTTTCTCCGTTTCAGCTGGTGTTGATGTTGTTGCTGCTGCTTGGATAGCTGGTGCCGTTGCTGGTGTTGAGCTATAAGCTGCTGCTGCTGATGCTGCAGCTGTATTGGTGCGCCAATGGCGACATTTTCAGCAACAGGTGCCGGGGTATGGGGGGGGGCTATAGCTTTTGTAGCTTTGGATGCAGCAATGGCCGCCGGCTTGGACGCCGCCGTTTCGCGCATTTTTTCCTTATGTACTTGCCCTTTTTGCCTTATATACATAGCATTATGTATATATTTATGGGTTTTTGGCGTAGTTTTCCCTCGCTGTCGTCAGGTATCTCGTCCGTGTTGGCTTCTTTTGTTAATACAATTAACAATATGTTGCTGCTCTGCTGTATATAAGTCTATATACAGCACACAATTTATAATTTCTTATATATTTTATTTATTTATTTTATTTTATTGTTTAGCATTTAAAAATGCTGATTGGCCGTCTTTGATTTATTTAAATACTTTATTTTATTAATTTTTCACTTTTCCACCATTATAGTTTTAATTTCATTTTTTTGGCTTTATTTTAGCATTTAAAAATGCTGATTGGCAGTTTGTTTAATTAACTTTATTATTTTTTATTATTTGGCACAAGCATTTAATTTTATTTTATTTTATTTTATTTAATTTAATTTACTGGCAGAAATAAAGACACTTGTAAGATTTTTTTTTTTTTAGTTGTTCGTCTGTAGTCCGACCGGGCGCCGTCCGCAAACACGTCCGCTCGCCTCGACCGCCACAGAGAGATTTTTATTGTTGCTCATTTCTACATATTGGTTTTGCAAACAGAAATTTTAGAACATTTTTTGGGAGCACTTAAAAATATGCAACGTTCTCCAGTTTGCAAGGTGGAGAGGGACATGACAAGAGATACATTTAACATTTAATCTCGACTGACCTACATTTAAACATAAACATAACATAACAGACTCTGTTCGATTAGCATTTTGTCGTAGGTCAGTTAGCTGGGGGAAATTTCTGCACGATCAGCTGGCAATGCTGTCGTGTGAATGGCAAGAATACATAATATTCAATTGGGCACGCTAAAGACATGTAAGTGGAAAATTATTTTAAATTTAACAATTTTGTGGCTAAGTATAACTAATAAATTAATTATTTGTATCGCACCGCCTTACGATGCGCTGGCCGTCTGCCTCTGGCCTTCCGGTGGACAATTGGCTTCCACCGGCTACCTGGCCGACTTAATGTCGCATAAATTGCAATTTGCATTGTGTGATGGCTGCCGCTACATCTGCTGGAGTTTGCAATCGCTTTGGATGGGCATAACTTTAGCTGCTGGAGCGGATGACTGGCAATGGACAACGCTAACCACACACCCCAGGATGCATGGATAGCGGATCGCCGTATTTTCACGCCTGTTTATGCCCGAAGGCTGAGTGATATGCAGCCTGCGCTGCATCATTTTTGCACGTACGGGTGGCGCTGTGTCTGGCCACTCGGCGTCGAGTGGATGACGTTTCGCTGGCTTCCATTTGTGCTGAGCAGGCCGCTGACGCATTCGCTGGTCCAGTTGTGCAGGTAAGTTGGTGCGTGGAATTTTTTGTAATTTGCATTTTTTTAAGTTTTTGTATTGGCTTACAGGTACGGCGTATGCTGGGCTGGATAGATGGCCTCTGGGTAGCCATCCTTCGCCTGCATCTTCGTCGCCGCTCCAATTTGGGCAGTTTGCGCCATTTTCAGCTGGATTTGGTGGCATTTATTTGCCGTAGTGACCACCGTCGTGCGGTGCATGTTATGCAGCTGAATGTCCGGCCTGGGCATTCTGCTCAATTTGGACACACTGCACTCACACCACCTGTCTGCGTTACTTTTAGTAGCAAACTTATTGGCACCCACATTATTTGTGATATCTTTGATAACTCGTTGGATATCATCAATATTGGGCAGGTATATAGTGGGCACCTTGACCCGTTGAGCTAGATTCAGCTGCATTGTCTGACCAGAGATTGCATTTGGATTGCAATCTGTTGCCTCATCTTCAACTTCCATGATGTCAGTGTCATCACTGTCCTCGTTGTTGTTGTCGTTAGCAGCGAATGTAGCATTGTTGGTATTGCCAACATTCGTGCCATTATTTGTCTCTGTGCTCTTTCTAGCTTTTGCTGCTGGTATATTATTGTCGCTTGGCTGATTGTCCGATACTTTAATGGCTGTATTTGTTTTAAAGAAATCAGAATACGAAGGAGTATCCCTGACACTGTCTGCGTTCGTAATATACTCAGCGTACGCTAATAATAGAGCACGCTTGTCACTCTTATTCGCTGGCATAGTTGGTGAAATTTTGCGCTTAATAGGTCGTTTAATGACCGTATTGACTTTGGGTGATCCACAGATTCTAGTACCCAACATATACTCATTTATTGGTAGTGATTGTTGCCCACTCGCCTCTAGTTCATTTTCTGAAACTTGCATAATTTCAGCTGGCATCATTCCCGCATAATTATTAGGAATTAATTGGCTAGCCGATGGAGCAGCATCGGTATTATTTTTATTATTATTTTTATTTTTATTAATTTTCTCCATTTCCTGGCTATTTGTGACACAGATAATTTCTGAGTCAGAATTGGTTGGGCTATCAGCAAGCATGTTGCTATGAACTTGCGCTCTAACAACATGTTGCTGTAGCCCCATATTATTGCTCTCAACATTTTGTTCGCAGCTCGAGACGAACATGTTGCCATGATCGCTCTCACTACGTTCATAGCTGCTGCTGCTGCTGCTGCTGAATTTGCTCAAGTTCGATGCCGCTCTGCTGCCGACACTCAAACGCTCGATTGGCGCTTCTGCCGACGCAAGCGCCGACAGCGACTGAGCCGTAGAGAGCATTGGCGCTCTCTTGTGCTTCGGCTTCGGCTTTCTCCGTTTCAGCTGGTGTTGATGTTGTTGCTGCTGCTTGGATAGCTGGTGCCGTTGCTGGTGTTGAGCTATAAGCTGCTGCTGCTGATGCTGCAGCTGTATTGGTGCGCCAATGGCGACATTTTCAGCAACAGGTGCCGGGGTATGGGGGGGGGCTATAGCTTTTGTAGCTTTGGATGCAGCAATGGCCGCCGGCTTGGACGCCGCCGTTTCGCGCATTTTTTCCTTATGTACTTGCCCTTTTTGCCTTATATACATAGCATTATGTATATATTTATGGGTTTTTGGCGTAGTTTTCCCTCGCTGTCGTCAGGTATCTCGTCCGTGTTGGCTTCTTTTGTTAATACAATTAACAATATGTTGCTGCTCTGCTGTATATAAGTCTATATACAGCACACAATTTATAATTTCTTATATATTTTATTTATTTATTTTATTTTATTGTTTAGCATTTAAAAATGCTGATTGGCCGTCTTTGATTTATTTAAATACTTTATTTTATTAATTTTTCACTTTTTCCACCATTATAGTTTTAATTTCATTTTTTTGGCTTTATTTTAGCATTTAAAAATGCTGATTGGCAGTTTGTTTAATTAACTTTATTATTTTTTATTATTTGGCACAAGCATTTTATTTTATTTTATTTTATTTTATTTATATTTAATTTAATTTACTGGCAGAAATAAAGACACTTGTAAGATTTTTTTTTTTAGTTGTTCGTCTGTAGTCCGACCGGGCGCCGTCCGCAAACACGTCCGCTCGCCTCGACCGCCACAGAGAGATTTTTATTGTTGCTCATTTCTACATATTGGTTTTGCAAACAGAAATTTTAGAACATTTTTTGGGAGCACTTAAAAATATGCAACGTTCTCCAGTTTGCAAGGTGGAGAGGGACATGACAAGAGATACATTTAACATTTAATCTCGACTGACCTACATTTAAACATAAACATAACATAACAGACTCTGTTCGATTAGCATTTTGTCGTAGGTCAGTTAGCTGGGGGAAATTTCTGCACGATCAGCTGGCAATGCTGTCGTGTGAATGGCAAGAATACATAATATTCAATTGGGCACGCTAAAGACATGTAAGTGGAAAATTATTTTAAATTTAACAATTTTGTGGCTAAATATAACTAATAAATTAATTTATTTTGTATCGCACCGCCTTACGATGCGCTGGCCGTCTGCCTCTGGCCTTCCGGTGGACAATTGGCTTCCACCGGCTACCTGGCCGACTTAATGTCGCATAAAATTGCAATTTGCATTGTGTGATGGCTGCCGCTACATCTGCTGGAGTTTGCATCGCTTTGGATGGGCATAACTTTAGCTGCTGGAGCGGATGACTGGCAATGGACAACGCTAACCACACACCCAGGATGCATGGATAGCGGATCGCCGTATTTTCACGCCTGTTTATGCCCGAAGGCTGAGTGATATGCAGCCTGCGCTGCATCATTTTTGCACGTACGGGTGGCGCTGTGTCTGGCCACTCGGCGTCGAGTGGATGACGTTTCGCTGGCTTCCATTTGTGCTGAGCAGGCCGCTGACGCATTCGCTGGTCCAGTTGTGCAGGTAAGTTGGTGCGTGGAATTTTTTGTAATTTGCATTTTTTTAAGTTTTTGTATTGCTTACAGGTACGGCGTATGCTGGGCTGGATAGATGGCCTCTGGGTAGCCATCCTTCGCCTGCATCTTCGTCGCCGCTCCAATTTGGCAGTTTGCGCCATTTTCAGCTGGATTTGGTGGCATTTATTTGCCGTAGTGACCACCGTCGTGCGGTGCATGTTATGCAGCTGAATGTCCGGCTGGGCATTCTGCTCAATTTGGAGTCGCTGCGTCTGGCCAAGGGAGGCCGTTTTGACAACATTGTCCCATTGCTGGAGAAGCTGCTGCCCCTTAAGGACTGGATGCTCAATAAGAGGCTGCTTTTTCGTGCCAATGGAGTCCAGCGAGGACGCCGTCGGCTGATGCTGTTGTGCCTGCCTGTACTCAGGTACAGTTTGTGCAATTTGCAGCTCGTGTATGTGCTCGTAGGTGGGCGTGGCGGCTGTCGTCGGCTGCTGTTGCGCGTTCGGCTGCTCTCGCAGGACAGGCTGCAGATTTGGCAGGCGTTGCTGGTGACCATAGGGGGCATCGGAGGATCCTGTTAGCCATCGCTGCTGTGCTTGCTGCCCCAAAAGGACAGGCTGCGGATTTAGCGGGCGTTGCAGGTGCCCAGAGGAGGGCATGGTGGCTATCAACGGCTGTTGCTGCCTGCTCAGCTGTCCCCATGGCACAGACTGAGGATTTTGCAACTGCTGCTGGTGATCACAGGAGGCACTGGTGGCTTCAATTGACCAGCGCTGCTGTGCTTGCTGCCCCCATAGGAGAATCTGCGGATTTTGCGGATGCTGCTGGTGCCCAGAGGAGGGCATGTTGGCTCCATTTGACCAGCGCTGCAAGTTCTGCTGCCCCCATAGGAGAGGCTGCGTATTTTGCGGCTGCTGCTGGTGCCCAGAGGAGGGCATGGTGGCTCCATTTGGCCAGCGCTGCAAGTTCTGCTGCCCCCATAGGAGAGGCTGCGGATTTTGCGGATGCTGCTGGTGCCCAGAGGAGGGCATGGTGGCTCCATTTGACCAGCGCTGCAAGTTCTGCTGCCCCCATAGGAGAGGCTGCGTATTTTGCGGCTGCTGCTGGTGCCCAGAGGAGGGCATGGTGGCTCCATTTGACCAGCGCTGCAAGTTCTGCTGCCCCCATAGGAGAGGCTGCGTATTTTGCGGCTGCTGCTGGTGACCAAAGGAGGGCATGGCGGATGCTATCGGCTGCTGCTTCGCCGAATGGAGTTGTTGGTGATGTGGATGCCCTTCAGGCCGCTGAATAGGCCAATATTGGGTAAGTGGATTCTGAAATGTTTTCAAATTTGAATTAGAGTTTCTGTCCGTGGTCGAGTCCGAATTTGTCAGTTTGTATTGTTCTGTCCGACAGTGTTCGCTATCAGTTAGTGGTCGTTTAGCTTCGTCATTGTTGCCTAGTTGCATCATACCCTGCAACAGGTTCTCTAGCAATAGTATTTCATGCGGGTCCGTATTATCTACGTCCCGTACAAGTTTTTTCTCTAAGACGTTAAAGATATGTTCGACTAGTGGGTCAGCTGGCTGCATGTCAATTACTAGGTCATCAGTCAGTAGATTTTGTTGCAAATTGTGCATGAGTGTCTGTTGTGTAGTTGATAGTTGAACTTTGTTATCTTTCGGTGTCCATTCTAAGTTGGACACCTGAGTAGACTGCCTATTAGTTTTGGGCACGCTGTATTTATTTTTACTACGCGCTATAGGTGCGCGTAGCAGCGTGTGCCCTCTATATTGTTTGACATATGATTTGCCTTTTTGGCTACGGCTGAGTGGGGGAGTGGCATGTTGATTATGATTAAATAAATCATTTAAAAATTCGATTGCATCCTCAGAGTTGAAATCAAATTCGAACTCCAAGGCTGCTTGCATATCATTATATATATGATTGTTTATTTCGTCGATTGATTCTGTATATTCTAGATAGCGTTTTTTATTGTTCGCCTTATTGGTGGGCTGGCCGATAGCCAGTTGTTGATCGTTGGCATAATTGCCGATGTTTGCAAAATTAAACGCAGGTAGCCGATTACCTTGTTTTAAGGGATAGATTGCGGCTATGTCTGTTTCTAAATTAGTGACTGTTTGTATGTTCCGAGAGTTTTTCATGTACCCCCTCACTCGCTGGCCGTTTATCATTGTGTCTCTTTTTTTTTAATCATTTCGAGTATCATTGGCGTCTGAGGAGCTACTAGCAGTTAATCTAGCTAGCGTCCTAGTGGCTGTTCCGGGCAATTTAGTTGCAGGATATGCATTAGTATTATTTTTGGCCACTATTTTCAAAAGTAGTTCAACTACTTGATCCAATTTCATGGTCATTTGCATAATTGCAGCCATGTTGCTATTTAAAGCATCAATGGCTGCATTATCGACAGGCTCTTGGCTTTCTTTTTGTTGCCGTTGCTTGTTTTTCTGTTGCTTTTGCTGCTGCTGCTGTTGTTGATACCTGGCGCCTGTTGTGTTTGAAGCATTCGCTGCTCCTGATTGTTTTTTCTGGCGCTCTTCCTCTTGTTCCATCTGAAGCTTCTTCTGGAACTTGAGTAGGTGTTGCATGGCCGGATTATGCACCCGACCAGTATTGACTCGCCCGCTGGTCACCTGACTATAAGTCATAGTCGAGTTGGCAATGTTGCTTTGCATCTTCTGGTTCTTCTGCTGCTGATGTTGTTGTCGGTCCTGCTTGGACACCACGTTTAGCGTTCCATGTTGACGCTTATTGACTGATGGCTGCTGTTGCTCGTGCTGGATGGGCATGACTCGTGCCCGGTTTGCTGATAGCTTAGCTCGCTCATCTTTAAAAGCTTTGCAGCCTTTATAATTGGCTACATGCTGACCTTGACAATTGGCGCACTTTGGAGGCGCGCCTCTTGTCTTGGAGCATGTCGTGGTCGGGTGTCCTTGTCCGCATTTAAGGCATACAAATGGTCGTCGGCAATAGTTTTTACTATGCCCGTATGCCTGGCAACGGTGGCACTGGACAGGATCAGTGCGCTTCCGCTGTTTCTCCACTTTGATTTCCTGGCTGCCTAGTTGTTTCAACTCCAGTATCTTAGTGTTATTCTCGTTTTTCTCTAGCTCAATTTCGAACGTGTTGATCGGTTTGGCAGTAAAGCGTTGTTTTATCACGCCCACATACCTAACCTGATGCCCCAATCTTCGCAATTCCATGCGTACCCAGTCGCATGGAGTTGTGTGGTGTAAATGGCGAATAATTATTCTAAATCCGCGCTCATTGCGCATTTGATGGGTGTGCCGGTGAACATTGGAGGCATCAAGCAACGCAATTGTTGCATTGTATGCCTCAATGTCCACACATTGCACTCTCACACCACCTGTCTGCGTACTTTTAGTAGCAAACTTATTGGCACCCACATTATTTGTGATATCTTTGATAACTCGTTGGATATCATCAATATTGGGCAGGTATATAGTGGGCACCTTGACCCGTTGAGCTAGATTCAGCTGCATTGTCTGACCAGAGATTGCATTTGGATTGCAATCTGTTGCCTCATCTTCAACTTCCATGATGTCAGTGTCATCACTGTCCTCGTTGTTGTTGTCGTTAGCAGCGAATGTAGCATTGTTGGTATTGCCAACATTCGTGCCATTATTTGTCTCTGTGCTCTTTCTAGCTTTTGCTGCTGGTATATTATTGTCGCTTGGCTGATTGTCCGATACTTTAATGGCTGTATTTGTTTTAAAGAAATCAGAATACGAAGGAGTATCCCTGACACTGTCTGCGTTCGTAATATACTCAGCGTACGCTAATAATAGAGCACGCTTGTCACTCTTATTCGCTGGCATAGTTGGTGAAATTTTGCGCTTAATAGGTCGTTTAATGACCGTATTGACTTTGGGTGATCCACAGATTCTAGTACCCAACATATACTCATTTATTGGTAGTGATTGTTGCCCACTCGCCTCTAGTTCATTTTCTGAAACTTGCATAATTTCAGCTGGCATCATTCCCGCATAATTATTAGGAATTAATTGGCTAGCCGATGGAGCAGCATCGGTATTATTTTTATTATTATTTTTATTTTTATTAATTTTCTCCATTTCCTGGCTATTTGTGACACAGATAATTCTGAGTCAGAATTGGTTGGGCTATCAGCAAGCATGTTGCTATGAACTTGCGCTCTAACAACATGTTGCTGTAGCCCCATATTATTGCTCTCAACATTTTGTTCGCAGCTCGAGACGAACATGTTGCCATGATCGCTCTCACTACGTTCATAGCTGCTGCTGCTGCTGCTGCTGAATTTGCTCAAGTTCGATGCCGCTCTGCTGCCGACACTCAAACGCTCGATTGGCGCTTCTGCCGACGCAAGCGCCGACAGCGACTGAGCCGTAGAGAGCATTGGCGCTCTCTTGTGCTTCGGCTTCGGCTTTCTCCGTTTCAGCTGGTGTTGATGTTGTTGCTGCTGCTTGGATAGCTGGTGCCGTTGCTGGTGTTGAGCTATAAGCTGCTGCTGCTGATGCTGCAGCTGTATTGGTGCGCCAATGGCGACATTTTCAGCAACAGGTGCCGGGGTATGGGGGGGGGCTATAGCTTTTGTAGCTTTGGATGCAGCAATGGCCGCCGGCTTGGACGCCGCCGTTTCGCGCATTTTTTCCTTATGTACTTGCCCTTTTTGCCTTATATACATAGCATTATGTATATATTTATGGGTTTTTGGCGTAGTTTTCCCTCGCTGTCGTCAGGTATCTCGTCCGTGTTGGCTTCTTTTGTTAATACAATTAACAATATGTTGCTGCTCTGCTGTATATAAGTCTATATACAGCACACAATTTATAATTTCTTATATATTTTATTTATTTATTTTATTTTATTGTTTAGCATTTAAAAATGCTGATTGGCCGTCTTTGATTTATTTAAATACTTTATTTTATTAATTTTTCACTTTTTCCACCATTATAGTTTTAATTTCATTTTTTTGGCTTTATTTTAGCATTTAAAAGTGCTGATTGGCAGTTTGTTTAATTAACTTTATTATTTTTTATTATTTGGCACAAGCATTTTATTTTATTTTATTTTATTTAATTTACTGGCAGAAATAAAGACACTTGTAAGATTTTTTTTTTTTTTTAGTTGTTCGTCTGTAGTCCGACCGGGCGCCGTCCGCAAACACGTCCGCTCGCCTCGACCGCCACAGAGAGATTTTTATTGTTGCTCATTTCTACATATTGGTTTTGCAAACAGAAATTTTAGAACATTTTTTGGGAGCACTTAAAAATATGCAACGTTCTCCAGTTTGCAAGGTGGAGAGGGACATGACAAGAGATACATTTAACATTTAATCTCGACTGACCTACATTTAAACATAAACATAACATAACAGACTCTGTTCGATTAGCATTTTGTCGTAGGTCAGTTAGCTGGGGGAAATTTCTGCACGATCAGCTGGCAATGCTGTCGTGTGAATGGCAAGAATACATAATATTCAATTGGGCACGCTAAAGACATGTAAGTGGAAAATTATTTTAAATTTAACAATTTTGTGGCTAAGTATAACTAATAAATTAATTTATTTTGTATCGCACCGCCTTACGATGCGCTGGCCGTCTGCCTCTGGCCTTCCGGTGGACAATTGGCTTCCACCGGCTACCTGGCCGACTTAATGTCGCATAAAATTGCAATTTGCATTGTGTGATGGCTGCCGCTACATCTGCTGGAGTTTGCATCGCTTTGGATGGGCATAACTTTAGCTGCTGGAGCGGATGACTGGCAATGG